GAAATAATGATTATGTGATGTTACAACTTTCAGGCCTGCACTCTTTTCTTCTATCTCTGTCATTACTTTTTCTCACCTCCAATGTCCTTTCCTATCTAATCTTTTTTTTTTTTTTTCTATTTTTTACCTTTTTTTTCTATTTATAATGATAATATAAATTTTAGTATATTATATAGGAAAATTATCAAAAACCATTGTATAAACAGGTTATCGTGGGATCCAAACCCAACACAGGTTTTTGCAGGACTCGTGATGATCACAGATAACTTGATCACATGTTCTTTGAAATTCTACTTTTCCTCTATTGTAACATTTGAATACTGCATGGTTCCTGCGGTATTATGATTTTGCAATAACGTAAGTACAACGTGAGGAGACATTTATGAAAACGGAATTTGACCTCTTCTTTTTCAGATGCGAAGAGCACCATTAATGTTAGTCAGGTAAGAAGGTATCGCTATCACGTTTTGCCAGAGAGAATGTGACACCCTCTCCAAAGGGAACGTGAAATTCTTGAACACTATTTTTTGGTTGGCCCAATGCACATATTCTATGGAACTAGGCAACAAAGACAGCTAAGTATTGTTCCACTAGTTAGAGTTTTTTCTGGCATGAGAAAAAAAATTATGATTTGTCTTGGTCTGGCATTCCAGATTTGATTCTGAGACTACAGTGTAAAAGGTGAATCGCAGAAAGTGAAAGTTGGCAGTCCCCACACATGACAGCGCAATGTCAATTACCATCTTTAATGCCGTAAGAATAATGTTGACATCAAACTGGTGCAAATTTACTCCATACATTCTAGATGCAAAAGACGCCAACGACAACCTTGCAATTCTACTCAAACCATTCTACCCTGTCCTTTTCTTTTCCATCTTTCTGGTAATGTGAGATTGGTGTGCATGCTGCATTAACCCCTTTGTTTTCATTCTCGTCAAATTTTCTTCTTTATCATGTGATGTAGAAATGCTTTGTGGCACCAAGATTCTGAAATGGAAAGATGGAAAAGATTAGAAGAGAGAGACAAGTCGAGTGGACTGTATTGAGGATGGCAATGTCTGCTCCCGAAACCCAAGAAATTGGCAGTTAGTTGTCACTTTCAATTTGGCTCAACTGTCATCATTTATTGCACACAACAAATCACAGAAATATACTTTTATGTCACCTAAATTTATACTGCCATGGAAAAGCATGCTTTGTATTAAAAGTGTTTAATTAATATTTTAATACGAAAGATATAAACTTTTTAAGAAGTATTTTTTTTAAATAGGAGAACTCAATTGTAATTAAAACTGCAATTTTTTAATTCAATTTAAGTTCAGTTATTTAAGATAATAGAAACTAAAAAAATATTTTTATAAAGATGTTAAAACAATGAAAAACTATACATGGACAAATTAAAAGAAATAAGCTCAAGACATAAATACTAAAATGTAAAGATTATAAAACTAAATATTGTAGGTTATAAACAAATTACTTTTTAGTTTCAACATCATACTTTCTAATTAATTAAAAATTATAAAGTTACTAGTAAATTATTAAATGAAATAATACTTTTAATAAATTTAAATTAGCAATAAAATATATAAGATGTATATATAAAAATTAACTAGTATAAATTTGCATTGTTAGAAAATAAACTATATAAGTTTACAGAACAAAAAAATTTAGTGAAATTAAATAAAAAAGAAATAAAAACTACAAGTTAACAAGAATTGAGGAGAAATAAAATAAAAATATAATTTTAATTTTTTTTAAATAAAATACATCAACATTATTTTGATTTCTCATCAATGTATTTTTTCTGGAATTATTTTATGTAATTATAGTTTTTTTTTAATATTTTACATATGCACAATTAATATATATTGTTTAAAAGATATATTAGAAATAATTATTTCAAATTTAAAAAGATTGTTGTGTAAAAATAAAACTCTTTTATTTGATATTTATAGGACTGGACAGAGCGGCGTGTTACAGATTTACGGCTACTGAGATGAAGGCTCACGAGATTCCTCACTGCTTCATATTTATTTATTTTTAAACACACTAGGTGTGATAAAAATTAATTTTAAATAACTTTTTCATTTAATTTTAAAACAATTTTATAATTATATCTTAAATTGTAACACTGTTTATCCCACGTTCCATTCCACGTTGCCATTATAACCTCAGTTCAAACAAATCATATAAAAAGGTACATTGAAATAGCTATTTTTTTTAATTACTTACATTAGAACGCATGTTATAAAAACAGTAATAATTTAATATGACTTTATTTTTTATATAAAAAAATCTTACAAGTTTTGTTTTAAAACACAACTTCAACTTTTTATTCTTAAAAAATAAACTTCAAATTTTTAAAAAGAGAATTCATAATGCAAAAAATAACAAAGCATTTAAAATTAATTTTTAGAGCATGATCTTAATATTATTAAAAAGAAAGGGAAACAAAACTTCCTCGTAAGTATTTTGTAAATCCATCCATTTTCATATTTTTGTAAGAAATTAGCCATAAAGGATAAAAAGAGTTCCCATACTCTTACCACCATACAAAATATTTTTTAAAGTAATTTATGTTTAGAACTAAAGATACAAAAAATGGGTTTGAAAATTAGAAATTATCATAAACTAATAAATTATTTTAAAAATATTTTTTTATTTTTTAAATACAGCTATGTGAAAGGTGACCTTAGCTACTCATGTGAACAAATTTGGTATTTATTTTGTTTTGGAGTGGGATATGATTTTGTATTTTGTTTTGTTAGGGTTTGAAGTTGTTGTGTCTCAACCAATGTCGGTAAGGGCTTTTTGGAGACCTATTCTAACAGAATATGTCTTTTTAATAAAGTCCAATAAATTCAAATCACTTCGGACCCATATTTTTGGACACTCTTCAAATAAAACTTTGTCCCTTTACTCTCCAAAAACATATACATGGCTTTTTTTCTATGTTCACTCGTCATTATTTACATAAATAACCTTTTTATTCCCTTCTTCTAACACTCTTCTCTCTTTTACCATTTTATTCTCTTTGTCCTCTCTCTATTTCCTCGTTGTCTCTTCTATCTTATTAAATAACACATAATAATTAATTTATAAAAAAACAATATACTTAAATGACTGATTATTTTATTTGTAATAATTTATAATAATAAGTATACTATTATAAATATATTTTTTACTCTTAATATAAATATGTGGTTACACTTTTTTTTTCTACTCCTTTTTCCTTTTTTTCTTCCTCGATCTTGTTCTTTTTCTTCCCTCCCAAAAATTGAAAATTGAAAAAATAAAAATAATTTACTTTCTTTATACTAGATAGAATTTTGTATACTAAAATAGATATCAACTCTAAATTTCTAAAGTCCAGGTAGGAAATGATTTATATACTGACAAGAGACAAAATTAAAAGGAAAACAAGAGCATGTGCATGCGACAAAATGGATAAATCATGAAGGTAAAAACTGAGATTAACAAAGAATTTGAAATGAAGATTGAGGATTACAGCGAAGGATTATAGAAATTGATTTCAAAAGAGGAAGAAAGAGTAGATTGTAGTGCCCATGTAAAAAATCTATCTTGAAAGGGTCCTTAATAGATTTGGAGTGTCTAATTCAAATAATGTAGCTAAACCTGTCAGTAATTCAAGCTAAATATATATATATATATATATCAAGCCCCAGAAACTGAAAAGAACAAAAATCACATGGATAATACATTCCTTATGCAAGTGTTGTTGAATCTTTGATGTATGCTAAGGTAAAGTTAATGGAGTGTGTGGTAAGTATTTCTGGAAGAACACATTGGCAGAAATTGAAATGAATTATCAAATACATATTGGAAAGCTATTTCCGAAAAGGTTGTAAGCAGAATACATTGTGATGACTGAAACTATAAAGGAACTTTTATGGCTTAGGGATTGCTGAGAACTGAGGTTCAAGATGAGGTCATTACTATTTTTTGTGAGAGCCAAAATGTCAATCATCTATCCAAAAACCAACCCTTATCCATGACCAAGCATATACATACTGATATAAGGTACATTTTGTTCAAAAATTTCGCCCATTACCTACGTACCTAACAAAATATTCGTTAGTCATTTTATACTTATATCAATAAATACCTATATATATATATATATATTAAATAAAATTATCTAAAAAACATTTAAAAAAATATATAAACTCAAATATAATCAAAACATCTTTAAAATAAAATAAAATTGTACCATTATAAATTTAAATAAAATTTATCTTCTAAAAAAGCTTTGATTTCATAAAAATCTAAATAAAACATGAATCTATAAAATCAGAATCATTCTTTAATTATTAATATTTTACTTATCAGTACCTTTATTTTTTATCATTTACCTAAATGAATATTCAAATAAAAATCAATGGTTAGATACCGGTACAGCCCATTAACAAGAAAAATAAAAAACTCATACAGTTTAGTCATGAATATAATAAATGTTCGTAAACATTTTATAAAGTGTGAAATAACTTTATCGATACACTAAAACTGATTTATTTTTAAATTAAAAATATAATTTAAACAAACTAATGCGAAAAAAAATCCCACCATCTATATACTACAACTAATCTATTCATAAATTAAATATATAATTCAAAGAATATAAAACCTGTTTTTTCTGTGCCAAGTAATCCCAAATCCTTAATGCATTATACTAACTTATTTTTATTATTGACTAAAACAAAATGCCAAAGTACGTGTTGAAGCAGACATTGATCCGATTGATTTTATTTAGATCAGATATTTGATTTAATTTTTGTCAATTTAATTATTTAAATAAAACCATATATTAAAAATTAGGCTGTCTCTATTAATAAATTAGGAAAAAAAATTTCAAATTTAATCAAAATCTGAAATAAATCAGAATACATTTCTTATTATTTAAATAAATTCAATCCTATTTATTAACTAATATAGTAGAAAATAAGCAAAATATTACTAAATATCGCAGATCAAGTAAGACCTTAGCCCATGGCATATTTCTGAGTCCATGACCGAGCAGTGGCCTCATACTTAGATCGGTCAGTCTTGTACATATGAGCAATTTCAGGCACAAGAGGATCATCTGGATTGGGATCTGTCAACAGAGAACATATAGACAAGAGGACCTACAAAATTTTAACATTTTAAGTATATCCCTCTGCTAAGAAATCTGATAAGAAAATAAAAATAAAAAAGTTATAAGATAGATTACCTTGGATATTGTGAGGGCAGGGCTCCATTGCTCTTTCAGGATATCAAGGCAGATACTACCATTACTGTTGATGTTAGGATGGAACACTTTGGTGCGGAATGAAACCTTAACAAAATGATGATAATGAACACTTTATCACGTGTATGAGAAAAAAAACTGGCATTTGAAAGAAATTATCTCTAAAATCCTAGATTTTCTCTGCTCATCACTGGCCATATCTATGATTGACAATCTTGGGTTCAAGTTGTTATATATATCAATGATTTTCAACAAATAAAATAAAACAAGAATCCACCACCAATGATCAGAATAAATGAGATGTTCAATTCACTATAATTGATAATGTATTGCCAATAGTCCTTCACCAAATGAAGCTTAAATTGAAATTTAGTCATTTACAACGCTTCCATGCAAAAATCTAATGAAAGTAAACCTATTTATACAAAAAAAATTTAGTCTCAAAATGAGTGCATAGATATAGACATATACATGCCAGAATTGTGAACAGAGTAGAGTTTTGATTTACCTTTGGTGGTTTAAAAGGATAGTCAGGAGGGAAGTGAATTGACACAAGAAACACACCTCCAGCAAATGGGCTATCTGCAGGGCCCATAATTGTAGCTTGCCAATGGAACATGTCATCAGCCACTGGGCCTGAACATAAAAATTAAATTATTCAGACACTAACTGCCAAAGAACACTCCAAAAGTTCTGACAGTTTTAAGCAAACGATAAATAATTAAGATCCTATTCTATTTCCTTACTACCATGGCATTATTTTATTATACTTGCCACAAAAAATCAACTACATAACATGGGGTCAAATTTTTAAAATTTTCTATTTCACTTGTAGCAGAAGAGTCCAGGCACACAGTACACTGATATTGTGATGACTAGCAACAAATTCCAGAATAGTGAAAGTATAAATTAATTCATTCCACAAGACAAAGTAATTATAAAAATGCTGTCAAACAATACTACAAAAATAAATAAAGTAACAAAGTCCATCGCATAGCAATATCAGCCAACATCATGTGTTCTCCAAGGTTTTAAATTGATGTCACAATGTAGTTTTGTCATGCTCTTGGATATTCTGGGAAATAGCGGACATAAATGGCCAATTTGGCCACAACTGTGGTTGCTGACACAAAATCTAACATGAATAATTTAACATTGAAGTGAAATTTGTTATAGACAAATGCAGCCACAATTACTGTGGCAAACACCAAAACCTTAACTTTGTGACCGACATTGTGGTCATGGACCCTTTTTAAAATGTTGGTGTTGTCCACTCCTTAGTTCAACAGACTAAACCATGCTTCTAAAAGACAGTAAAAAAAGTGATGTCAACCCCAATATCAAGATTTTTGAAACCACAGCACAACCCAGCCACAATTTAAAACCTTAGTCTATACATCTGGTCAGGTTTTATTTTATTTTTTCAACGGAACTACCCATTGAATCGTTCAATATTTTGAGTAAAATTTTCATTGTATAAGAAGGGAAATGAAAACAAAAGAAAGCACAAAAGTGCAAAGAAACATACCAGCACTGCAAGATGCAGGAGGATCTTTCTGCAGGTCCTTCAATTCCTTGTTGATTCGTTTGGAAGCCATCTGATCAACACTGTTCACATTCGAAATTACATTTAGTTATTAATAAACATACATCAGCAATTTATTCAATTATTTATGCAAACTGAGATATCTTCACTATTATTTATCAATAATAATGCATTGGGAGGAAAATTACATGAGTAATGGAACATCAAAAAATAAATAACTGATGATGGTATGTATATAACTTTTAATAAGAAAAGAAAATTGAAAGCAGAGGAGTGAAACTGAAAATGGAAAATAGAAAAACTAATGAACCTTGTGTTAGGTAGGTTTTGGGGTTTGAGCGTGCGCGCCTTTCGGTGGTAAGACGAAGGAAGAAAGTAGAAGAGGGGATGTGAAATGAAATTTAGAGCTGAAAAACCGTGCTCTGTGGCCTTCCCTGCTTGCCACGCACAGGGTTACTTGTCACCACCACACCTATACGCAATTTCATTATTTTAAATTTTTTTAATACTCTGAAATATGTATAATTGATTATAAATAAAATTATTTTTTATTCTGATAGTTTTGTGTAAATAATTTTGAGATAATTAATTTCATTGCATGAGTTTTTACTTTTAAAAAAAATATACTATATGAAGTTTAAATAAAAAAATTATTAAATATAATTGCAAGTTAAAATTTTTAATTATAATTTTTTAAAATTATCAAAGAATCTTCAAGATAAAATTACATAATTGATTGTCCATGTAATTGTGTATATGTGTAAATAAATGAGTTCTGTTTACATGCAGTGTGTTTGGAAGTTCTCGTGCACCATTGTACAATTTATTTAATAATATAAAATATTTTATTAAAAATATAGATTATATTATTTATGATTAATATAAAGAATGAAGATCTTAAATTGGAATAAAAACATTAAGTCTTTTTTTATAGGTAGGAATTGGATTTCTGACCGAATTAATTAAACAGTTTAAAAATTTAATAGGTGTCACGTCTAAAAAATAATTTATGTAAATTTTTTTAAATATAATATATTAAATAATATTGTAAATAATTTAAAAAAAAACTCATGTAAATAAATAGATAAATGAAATATATATATATATATATATATATATTATTGTTAATCTATTATATAAAAATAATAATAAAAAAATATTTATCAAAATATTAATAAAATAATTATATATATATATATATGAAATGAACAATAATTATTATTATAATATATTATGAAATTATTATTATTATTATATACTATTGTGTAAAAATAAAATATAAATTAATAATAATATTATTATATATTATTATTAATATCGAAAAAATATTTCTCATCTCTTCGTATAAGAGATAATCTTTAACTTAAAATAATATTAATTTAATGAAAGAATAAGAAGAAATATTAATAAAATATTAAAAAAGATAAAAATAATCAGGTGGAGGTGGTGAAAAAAAAAGTAAGAAAGGGAGAGAAGGAAAAGAGAGAGTAAGAGAAGAAAAAAAGAGAGGGAAATAAGAGAAGATAAAGAACTTGAAAAGAAATTTTGGTGTATCATTTATAATATTGAGGTAGGGAAGGAGAATATTATTATTTTATCTATTTTATTTTAATTATAATTGTGGAGTGAAGTGTCCCTAACTTCATTCTATTTATTCTGTTACTTGTTTATTTATCTTCAATTACATACTGATTGTCTTATGTTTATTTATTATTTTTCACTAATTTTATTTTAATTATCTCGAGTTAAGTACTGGTTCTGCCATATGTTTATTTATTCATCTCCAGTATTGCATGAGTTTTACTTTAATTATGTCCAGTTACGTACTTGTTTTGTTTGTTTATTTTATCTTCAGTCTTGTATTGATCCTATTTTTTAATTATATTAATTTATGTACTGGTCCTACCTTATATTTATTTATTTATCTCCAGTCTTGTACTGATCTTATTTATTTATCTCCAATTACGTACTGATTCATGTTTATTTATTCTTCTCCAGTCTTGTACTGATTTTATTTTAATTACCTCCAGGTAAGTACTTGATCCTCGCCTTATGTTTATTTATTCTTCTTCGACTCTTGACTTGGTCTTATTTTAATTATCTCCAGTTATGTACTAGTCCTACTTTATGTTTATCTCCAGTCCTGCACTGGTCTTATTTATCTTCAGTTATGCACTAGTCTTATTTATTAATTTATATTTATATTATTTAATTATTTGTTATATACAATAATGTCTATTTATGAAGATTTGATGATATTATAGATGGAGGTTAAATCTTGGGGATTGAAATGAGTAGTTATCACTGAGAACGTGGTTAAAATTGGGTTCATTATCCTGACTAGTCACTACAAATTTAATTTAAATCTTCATAAAATAGAATATGTTGAGGAAGTTGAAAAACACACACACACACACACATATATATATATATATATATATATATATATATATATATATATATATATATATATATATAAGATTGTATTATTTTAAATGATAATTGTTCACACTCCTTAGTATGATCTTTTGTGCATGTTATATTTAAGTATCAAATTAAGTAGATAGAGACGTCAAATATCCCAAATCCCTTTTCTATATGTATCAATGCCTTCTTTCCATGAACTACTTGGAACACAAACATTATTGACAACTCGATTACTTTTAAAGGGACAGGGTTATCAATATTAACATTTGCATTTGATATGAGAACTCCCATCATGCTAGATGGACCAATAGTGGTTACCTTTTGCATGTCTCCTACCATTTACCCTTAATTAGTTTGTTTCTACAAATAATGTAAATATTTGTATAATTGTAGTAAGAATAGAAGGAATAAAAAAAAATTCTTCTTCTTTTATATATCCTATAAAAAAATTAGTAATGTAAATTATTTTTAGATATATAAAATATTTTTATTTTACCTCGCTACTCTTGTTAAATAATAATTAAAAAAGAGAGTAATATTTATTTATAAAAAATCTCATATCGGATGCAAATGTTAATATTGATAACCACTGTCTCTTTAAAAATAGCCAGAGTTGGCAATAATTGTTGTGTTCTAAGTAGTTTCTAGAAAGAAGGAAGTGATGCTTGCAGAAAGGGATTTGAGATATTTGGCGTCTCTATCTACTTAAGTTGATATTTAAATATAATATGCACAAAAGATCACAATAAATAGTGAGAACAATTATCCTTTAAAATAATACAATCTTATATATAATATATATATATATATATATATATATATATATATATTTTTTTTTTTTAACTTCCTCAACACATTTTATTTTATGAAAATTTAAATTAAATTTATAGTGACTAATCATGATAAATGAGACAAATTTTAACCACGTTCTCAGTAATAACTACTCATTTCAATCCTCAAAGTTTAACATTTATCTATAATATCATCAAATCTTATAATTAAAATAAAATCGGTGCAAGATCGAAGAAGAATAAATAAACATAAGGAATGACCAATATTTAATTGGAGATAATTAAAATAAAATGAGTGTAAAACTGGAGAAGAATAAATAAACATGGACCAGTAACCGTAGATAAATAAATAAGACTAGTGCATGACTGGAGATAAATAAATAAACCTAAGGTAGGACCAGTACATAACGCGAGATAATTAAAATAGGACTAGTACAAAACTGGAGATAAAATAAACAAACAAGATCAGTATCTAACTAGAGATAATTAAAATAAAATCAGTACAAGACTGGAGAAAAATAAATAAACATAAGGCAAAACCAGTACTTAACTAGAGATAATTAAAATAAAATCAGTGGAAAAGAATAAATAAACATAAGACAATCAGTATGTAGTTGGAGATAAATAAACAAGTAACAGAATAAATAGAATGAGGTTAGGGAGACCTCACTCAATAACTATAAATTAAATAAAATAGATAAAATGATAATATTTTCCTCCCCTACCTCAATGTTGCAGATGATACACCAAAATTTATTTCTAAGTTGTTTATCTTCTCTTCTTTCCCTCTCTCCTTCTCTTCTCTCCCTCAATCTTTCTCTTCTCTCCCTCTCTCTTTTTCTTCTCTTCTTCTCTCTTTTCCTTCTCCCCCTTTCTTACTTTTTTTTTTCACCACCCCAACCATTTATATAGGAAAATTTTTACCTTTTTTTATTAATGTTCCTTCTTATCCTTTCATTAAATTAATATTTTTTTTAAGTTAAAGCTTATCTCTTCTTATACAACGAGATAAGAAATGTTATTTTTTTACATATTAATAATAATATATAATATAATAATAATAATAATTAATTCATATTATATTTTTACATTTTAATTATAATAGTACATAATAATAATAATTATTATTATTAATTTCATAATATATTATAATACTAATTATGGTTAATTTTATATATATATATAATTATTTTATTAATATTTTGATAAATATATATTTTTTATTATTATTTTTATATAATAGATTAATAATATATATATATATATATATATATATTTATCTATTTATTTACATAAATGAGTTTTTTTAATTACTTACAATATTATTTAATATATTATATTTAAAGAAAATTTGACAGATGTTACAACAAGAGTTTAATAAATATGAAATCAGATTTAATATATATTTTTTAAAACAAAAATTATTATCATAATTATCCTAACTCATAATAAGAATTACACCTCTAACATATATTAGATAAAATAGATAATATAAAATAGATAATATTTGAAGTATGATAAAATATAATAAAATAATTATTATTTAAATTTTATGTAATTAATATGATATAAAAAAGAAAATAAATTAAAATATATTATATATTTTATAAATTAAAAAAAATCATTTTTAATTTTTTTTCAAAATTGGTACGACCCAAAAACCTAGATGATTTTACTAGTTTTTTACTAAATTTATCCTTATTTAATTAGAAATTGATTATTTGAAAGTAACACATCAATTTCTTTTTCTATGAGATCAATTAAATTGGTTGGTCCGATATGATTTTTAAAACAGTGTTTTTATTATTATAGGTGTGACTAGGTCAATTTTAAT